TCGTTCATGTTTTCTCTTTACAAGGTCAGCATTGTGTTGTGATGGATGCTTCACGGCTTAGAGACATTTATTCAGAAAAAAATAACTTTGTACACTTTTCAATAAAACGCCATTCAGCTTTTCTCTTTATGGGGTCAGCAATGTGCTGTGATCGATGCTTCAGAGCTTAAAGATATTTATTCAGGACAAAATAACTTTGTAAACTTCTTAATAAATTGCCATTCTTAGGAATTTTTGTTAAATATTTACTTATTTTTTGTGGGCCATTCTGTCATATTTTAGGTCATATTTTGCCATTTTTAGGGCATAAATGCATGCATATTTTCAAAGTTTTTAGGTCATAGAAATCTGAGCCCTACTCATCACCAAAACCCAAGAAGTTCCAGACGCAGCCATCTGCAGGGAAGACTATGCTGACTCTCTTTTGAGATGAACAAGGCATACTCTTGGAGCACTATCGCAAGTGCCTCATATTCAGATCTCTTGAAGAATCATCTTTGACCTGCAGTCAGATCAAAGCGACGTGGACTTTTGACTAGAGGTGTCCTTTTGCAACATGACAATGCTCAGTCCCATACTGCCCATGCAACAGTTGCACCAATCCAAGACTGGCACTTCGAGTGTCTTCCACATCTGCCATTCTCACCAAACCTAGCCCCACGTGATTACCACATCTTTGGGCCACTCAGAGAGGCGATGGGAAGAAAGAAGTTCCGTTCTGATGAAGAGATACAGCAGGTGGTGCATGGGTGGGTGCGCAGACAACCACAAGAATTTTTTTCTAGAGGAATCCATACATTTTGTAAACGCTGCAGGGCCTATATTGAATGAAATGGAGACTGTAGAAGAATAGTTGTGTACCGCTTTTATTCAATAAATTAAATTAAATTAAAACAAGTATAGTTTTCATTTGACTCACCCTCATAAATATGCAAAATTATTGCTACTGGACTCCACAGAATCCAAGAAGTTCTGCTCCATCCAGTTAAAGTTGGTGTCTGGTGTGCTGTAAATGCAAAAAGGATTCTTGGATCTTTTTTTTAATGACATAATTAATTGCAGAAGGTATCTACATGTGTACGGACAGCATTTTCAACACCTCTTGTGATCTGTGAATTGTAACTACTACATTCTGAAGGTTATCAGACTTCAGGCATGCTGATTCATTGGCAAAATTGATATGTGCCTCACAGCCAGTGGTGCACCTGTTGCTATGGAGCACAGAGCCATGGAACTGGTCAACAAAGTAAAAATCCTCCCTTTACAAGTAAGTTTTTAAATACTTTTGCATGATTTGAAGTCCCTTTGTACCACATGGTAATGAAATTTTGTCCAGTATGCCTTCATAGCATCCTGTCTGGAGATGTGATCATGTGCATTGCCATGTGGACAGATGTGATTCAATCATTTGGGGCAGGGTTTCCCAAATTTCTTTGTACTGTGGACCACTTGCTGTGTGAACTTTCTTTGGTGGACTACGTGAATATTAAATATTTTTAGGAATTTTAAATTAAATTAGAGTGGAATTTAGCAAACACTTATACCTCTGTGACTTTTAAAATGAAAATAATATGAAGATCTTGACATTGAAAGTATATTTACTAGTTTATTTTTACATAAAAATATGAAGATGGAGGTGGTAAAGTTAAAGCAGTCCCTGTGCTTACCCAATTAAGCACTATGCTATGTAGACATATGAAGGAGAGGATGTATAGATCCATGTTTTCTTGACCTCGGCACTAGTCAGAGGTGAGTGGCCAGCTTCACACCTCAGGTGCTTTACCCCACAGGAAAGAGCCCCCAGTATGCATTGGATAGGAGGCTGGCTAGGCCTCAGAGCCAGTTTGGACAATGTGGGGAAGAGAAAATTCTTGACCCTACTAGGACATGAACTCCGACCCCTCTGTTATGCAGCCCGTAGCAAGTTGCTATACTGACTGCACTCTCTCAGCTCATTGAAGGTGTACAACTTGGAATTTTTTTTCTGAACCACTGGTTTGGGAAACTCTGCTCTATGGATTAGTCTCCTCGAGACTGTGAAAATGTTTTTGTTGTTAAGACCACCTTCTAGTTCACTTCTGTAGTATTGTTTTTCCCCTCAGCAAAAAAGTTGTGACTTTCTGGTCGAGTCTATGGAGTAAAAATGTATTACAGAAGCGAAAGGGTGGTTTTGATGTTTCTAATTTTAACCTGTGAGGGATGTTTGACATAGCACATAACAGCTGTTTCACATGTCACCCACTGATTTGCATAGCACACCTATTGCACTTGTAAAATCCACCTCATTGAATTGTTTTTGCTGTAAGGTAGTCCTTTTGTATAAAATCAAGGAGGGAATTGTGTGCTTTCATTTTACATATATGTTAATGTACAGTTTGCATCTTTGAGAAACTTGTCTCCCTCACCAATCAGTGCATTACATTAGACAGTGCTTGTGTCTGCCATTGTGAATTCTTGTGAACTGAAAGCATGAAATCAGTATGAATTGAATGAGAGCAAAAAAGTTGGCTTTGTTGTGGGTTTGCAAGCATTGCTTCATGAATGCTGCCTTCACTTAGATATTTGTAATCATGAGAGAAGACTAATGTAGGAATGCTTATACCATATGCTTTACTCTATAAACATGCATCATATAAAGAAAGCAGTCTTCTGGGATTTGGCACCATGAATATGTGGTGTTAACCGACGTTTTGGAGGAACGTCGGTTAACACCACATATACACGGTGCCAAATCCCAGAAGACTGCTTTCTTCATAGTCACTGCCGTGAAAGCCTCAAATCTTACATGCATCATGTAGTTAACACAAGCAGCCTTTGACCTCTAATAGCAGAAAGTGATTAGCTGTTATGCATGAATGAAAAGTGAAAGGATATGAACTTGTTAGTGAGTATGAAGAAAGTTTACCTCTTTCAGAGTGTGTTAGTGACAGTGAAGTGGATGATTGTACTCTTCTTGATGTTGTGGTGAATGGTGACATTGATGATGAAGAAGATATTCTTTAAAACTTTGTTTGGAAAAACATGGAAAATTAAAAGTCACAGAAAATTCCATGAGCAGTATGTTGCAAAACATGACAAAAATTGTGGACGTTTCTTTAATTTTCAACAGGAAACTGATAGAGTTATTGAAGAGACAAATATGCTTGGCAGTTTCTTAGTGGGCATGGATTATTGAGCAGAGCACGAAATCCTGAGACAGGGAGAAATTTGTGTTGTATTGGGCCCCTTTATGCTTATGGACATTGTCCAGAAACCTACTGTGAGATCATGTTCCGAAACAAAAGTGGCAATTTCCACAACAGGATTTGGAGACATTATAAGAAGAGACATAGGAACTGGATTGTGAATTTCTGCATTTTTGTGAGCAGTAAAACCATCAGCAGTTTTTAAGGAACAGATGAACTTTTAACAATTTTCCACCTAATTTCACACTCTTTTAAGTCCCACGCCAGGATATTTCAATTTTATGGATCACTCAGACTTTGGGAAGGCTTTCTACATGTCCAACAGTTCTTCCCTTTCGAACCATTGAAATTTGGACTTAAAACTTATGCAGTATCTGTTGCTGCCACTGGATGCTTTTGGCCCTTTCTTATATCTGCTGGCAAGGACACAACATTTAACTCCCCCTTCATCATCACTAATGCTGTAACATAACAGCCATTGGCTCTAGAACTGGTAGAGCCTCTACAAAAAACTTTGTGGATGAATAAGTTTTATAATTCAATCTGTCTAGCCACAATATTGATAACTTTACACAAGACAGGCTGTGTCGGTACACTAAAATTGATCCAAAAAAAAAAAAGAGACACTGAACTGAATGATGATTTAGTATTCTACCCCTGTTCATGTCACATACTGGAGTGACGGAAAATTATTGCTATGATTTCAACATATCACAGTCTTGACATCAGGACTGGAAACGAAATAGTGAAATCCATTTCTGTGTCAGATTACAACCAAAGCAAGAGTGAGGTTGATTTGAAACACCAAGTGCTACACCTAGATTTGATTTAGGGAAAGCGATAACAAATGTTATATGAAGCTATTTTGCAGGCTTCTGAATGCTGTATTATACAGTAATAATATCAGAATAGGGCTGATCAGTTATCATTCAGAATTCGTTTGGTTGAAGAACTGTTTGTGAAGTACACTGATGTTGTGGAATGCAGAGTCTGCCAGACCAACTTTCTTCTGACATTGTTACAGTGCTGTTACTAACAAGAAGACAATTTATAAAAAGTTTCCAGAAGAAAGCCGTAGGACAGAGATGGGGCGCTCTTTGTCGGAAGCAAGGCCTGATGCATATGATTCTGGTCTCTGCATGGAATGTTTTGAGACTGCCACACTCAGTCAGATTTGCAGGATAATAATGAAGTACTGTATTGTTGCATAATTTTTACAAATTTACTGTCTCAAAAATAATTTTAAATGTATTTAGTTGTTGATATAGTGATTCTTTGTATGTCTTTGAATGTAGTGTGAAAATTAAGGGAGAAAAATCTTTCTTCCTTATTTATTGCTGTTAGGAAGTGAATTATTGCATTTTCAAGTTTTAAGGTTTCTATATCCTCCACAGCCAGGTGTGAGTACTATGGCACTGAGGAGTGATATGCTGATACATGCCTAATAAATATAAGGATACACTGAGGATGATGCTTTCAGGATTTAAATGCATTTGTTTGTATGTAAATGTAAATGATTATATTATTGATTGATTGCGATAAAGCCTTGTTTGACAAAACCTCTCTATACAGTTGTTGTATATGTTGAAAATTTCAAGAGTTTCAAATATGGTTTGGTAATCTTATTATGGCCATATATATATATATATATATATATATAGAAAAATAGAAAAAAAAATAGAAAAAATTCTGATAACAGATATCACATATGAAAACATATATATATATCAGAATTTTTTCTAATGTCAGTTATGTGGGGAAACTCATGAATTATTTCAAGATGGTAATGAGTTAAGGTTGTATTATGTGTACCAGGTGTTCCACAGTCTGATTGACCTGCCAGTTCTGTCAGCCACACTTTGTCTACACCAGGCACCAGCTGTTTTAAAACTTGATCAGAAGACAGATCCAACTGGTCCACAGTGGATCTCATTGCTGGAGAAGGTTCACACACCAGCCTTCCTTCCCTTGTTCAGTTTCATGCTGAGAATGGAGAGTGGCAAAGGAGATATGTTTCACAGGTAGTTGTGACAGTAATTTCGGTTGTTGGTATAAAACAGACTTCAGTTGTCAGTCATTTTTGTGTTCCAGAATCACAGAGTGTTTCCTCAGTCAGCATTCTTAAATTTATTTCAGTTCAGGAGCCTAAAATTTTGATGTGTAATTTAAGCCTTCAGGGTTTAGCCATGCCATGTGTTGAAGCTGTTCCAGTATTTTGCTATAAATTGCATTCACTGCCTTCAAGGTGAATGAGGTGTGAGGCAGATGCACCCTCATATATGGGTCTGACAATAGAAGTAAGGGTTGGTGTGAGGAGTGCGGTGCTGTTGAATGGAATGAGAGTCTGTAATTAAGAAGACCACACCCCATACCCTTTTCTTCACTTCACTTGGTTAAACCACATAAATATTCTCAGCACCTGCTTCTTGCTGGTTTCTTGCTTGGTTTACTTTTTGGAACTGAAGATGGAGGTGGTATGTTCCTCAGAAACATCAGACTTTTCCTGAACTACACAGCATCACATCCCAGAATACCATACTGTCATAGTCGCCACTATGAGAACCTCAAATACAACGCTTAAATCGTACTGTTTATAAATGTTTACTGTGTTCTTCACATCTTCATTCCTAAGTTTATGTCATTTGGTTTCGTAATTGACTGAGTGCCCTTCTCTGCTCCCACCTTGTGGCAGTATGACGGTTAGTAAAATCTTATGCATTGTGTACCAGAAGCTCTTCCTTCGGGGTGGAGTAGCTGGAGTATGAAACTGACCCCCCCCNATCATCTAATGTTGAGGTTAAGAATATGTGGACTGATACTTCCACTTTCACTTGTGTTTTTAGCTTGTAGTTCTTATGCAGTAGAGTAACTTTATCTCTGCTGTAAGTGTTAATAAAAGATAATGGCTTGCACGGTACACTAAAATTGATCCATGAACTTTGAAGGTAGTTATGTTGAACTTTGAAGAGGATTGTCTTCTGGAGTGTAATGCCATGTAGTCCAGTAGAAGTTCACTGGTGTTTGCCTCTTGCTGGTTTCGCCCTGAATGTGGAAGGAGGATGCCCATCTGATATATTAATGGACTTTTACCAGACTGCATGGTGTTAATCCCAGAGGATAGTACTGTTCAGAATCACAGCTGTGAGTACCTCAAATCCTGCATGAAGAGAAATGTTTACAACCTCTTCTGTTGGTATGTATGAGTACACTGTACGTGATTTTGTACACTGCCATATTTCAGAATTGGATCCTATCTCGACATTTTGGGTGAGCTATCGTGTTACCCGTTGGTCATCACTTGCAGTCAGGTAGTTCCTCTGTTGCTTGATGCGTTCTTTGCTGAGGTGCAGTCCAAGGCTGAGCCTCAAGTTCTTGAGGCCCTTGTACCAGCCATGTTAGTGAGACTGAAAGCTGTGTATAAAGTACCTGGGTATGAGGAGGCAGTTTGTAGGTATGTTGAGAAATATGTTTTTGTAGTATTGCAGGGAAATGAGATTTTGGTTGGTATGTGGTTTATTTTATGGTGCTGTCAGTGTCTCAGACAGTATAGCATTGAATGTTAGGATGATTAGTAAATAATGAATTGGAAACGATTTAGAAGGAATCGACATGGCCTATTCAAGGCATTAACCTGGCCTTTATGTGGGAGGGTGTAGAGAAAAGAACAAGATAACCGTAGCCAAGTTAGCTGATGTTCTGGCTTAGATTTGAACAGAGCACCTTCTGAATACAAGTCTAGAGCATAACCATTATATCTGCCTGTGCAGTTGGAAAGAAAGGGACTAGAGCTTATTGATAATCTAATGATCCTTATTTAGTTTGTAGGCATTCTTTATGCATGCAAGTTGAAAATACTGTTATGTGTAGGGATGTTGTGTGTGACTTATAAGACAGGATCTGGGCTGGATGATTGGGTTTATTGCACCTTATTCATTCACACCTCAGGAATAGAGGCAATTACAGCGCTGCCACTATGTCCCCACACTAGGGTTCTCAGTCTTCGTTAGCTGTATCCTGGCAATGGATTTATAACTGTCTCACTGTAACTTCAAATCACACATGAAGTTTCCTCTGCACCACCTAACTCTTTTGCTGCCAGTATTCTGCAACTGCCAATTCCGAAGACTTGACTCAGGTCAGATCCTCTGCTCCCAAGCTCTTATCCCAGCTGGCTGGTGTCCTGAAACTCAGCTTTTCACTTTATGCTGCTGAACACTTCTTTATAACAACTTTGCATGGACCACGCAGAAAACAGCCTCAGTTGTTAAGGAGGCATGTTTACTGATCTGTTGCCTAGCAATGGATGTCCTGTTGTTGCAAACATTTCCTCCTGCAGGAATGTGTTTACCAAGTCGTTGCATAGCAGTGGATATACACATCACAGTACTTTCAGGATACTTTGTAGCCGACCTCTGACATACAGCTACCACGACTATTGCTCAAGATGAGACCTTTGTCCCAGGGATACAGGGGCTTCAGATACCTGAAGGGGAACACACTTAGGGATTATGATTTACAGGGTCTCCAGAACCCACACCGTATATTACTCTTTTATATTAAAATTGCTTACACTTATTGTCACTCTTTACATAAGTCCTTCAAGCTAGCCCCTCTGTCGCTCTTAACCTTTTTACACCAATTTGCTCCCAGTTCGCTGACCCTACACACCACTAACTAGCTACCCTCCTGTAACTCACTTCCCTGTTCTGTGTCTGCCTTTTCAACTGTCCACCTCTGCTCTCTATAGCAGACTGACTGCCTTTTCTTTACAAGACCCCCAGTGGGCATAAAACAAAACAAAGAAAAACAAGAGAAAGACAAGGGTCGAGCCCATCATCTATCCTGCATTCATATTTTTTGAGATGCCCATCATAAACCTTTTCAAGTCTCCAAGGCACACAAGCAGGGAATCCAAGACCCCTACTGGCCAGTCTCTGACAATGTCAGCCCAAGGATTTATGACACTAGGAGCAAACTGGCAACATTAAGGACAATAGTGACACCCTAAGCCTAAGGAAGACAATAGTTGAATTACAACTAGACAATCCCGGGATGGTATCTCGCCGGAGGAGTGTCTCTCAGGGTGTAAAACAATGCATAAATTGGTCATGCCCTTAAATAATTTTAGCGCGGGACGTACGGTTACAACTTCATACTTGTCTGTTGCATCTTCTAAATCCTAAAGCTTATGTCATTATTTGTTGAAATTTGCGACAAGGAACCATTGCTAGTGTGTTTGGCTTATATCAGTCTGTTAGACCTGCCACTTTACTTAAAGGTTGTGAATAGTTTGTAAAATATGGAGCTAATCGAAAAACAGTTTTTATTTATTATTTATAGTTTATTTAACATTGCTGTTAGTAACTGAGGGTCTACAGGGTTAGCTCACTAACTTACCTTAAATATAAGCATTATGCTTTGTATTTATAGGCAAGCATAAACATCCCTGTAAATATTTGGTCGCTGCCATTTCACATGCAAGATGTGGAAACTATGAGGCAGTGCCACAAAGTGGATAAATCTATTATTCAGTTTACAGACCGGTATGGTGCCACTGCTATTGTTGTTCTGGTTTTGTGTTCACTACAGTAGACACGTTATGTATGAAAACAATGGCGCAGAATGCACAGTCTTCATTCAGTGAATTGGTAGATACAGAGTTACCATACAGAGAAGCAGAGCATAGCAGTGCAGCTGCTGCAATGGCAGCATCCAAACTGCAGGACATTCATTCCTGTGGAATGTCATCAGTGAGGAACATGTTGAATGTTGCTCACTGTGTCAAACACTATTAGGCCGTGAAGTCGCAGGAATGCCAATGTGGAAGACGATGTTCTGCATGCCATAGAACAGTCCCTTAGATCTGATACCATGCAGTTTACATCTCATCACCACATTTCCCAGTGAATGGTGATGGGGGGTCTTGCATAATCAGCTGTTGTGTCCATTCCATGCACGGCATGTTCAAGCTCTGTAACAGCTGCTGGATTTTCAGCGTTGAAAAGCTTTCTGCAAAGGGATACTGCAGCAGGTTGTAGCATCTCCAAATTTCCTCTGCCAAGTTTTGCTGACGGATGAAGCATGCTTCACATGGAATAGGATTTTGAATACTTGTAGCCAGTACACATGGGCTGATGTAAATCCACATTCCTTTCAACAAACATGATTCCAACAGCAGTTTGCAATATAAATGTCTGGGCAGGAATAGTTGATGATATCCTCTTCAGCCCATGACTATCAGGACCTCCTATCTACAGTTTCTCTGTGAACAATTGCTGCAACTGCTAGATAATGTAGCAGACAATGTTGGTATTGCATGATGGTGCTCCTGCCCAGTCTTCTAACGATGTAATTCTGTAAGTAGACAGCCACTAACCAGGTTGATGGACAGGACAAAATACACCAGTTGTGTAGGCTCCATGGTTACCCAATCACACTCCTGCTGACTTCTACTTGTGGCAATATCTATTTGCACCTAACAGTGTAACTCGCAGTATGAGATGTGGAATGTCATTGAAACAGCTGAAATGACAGTATGCAAAATGTTTCACTTCTTTTAGTGGACCAGGAATTCATGGCACAACAGTTCTTACTTGCGCATTGACTGTAATGGTGGACTGTTTCAGTAGGTATCCAGATGATGTTCTGTTCGCAGCTAATGAACTCTTTATCTACAACTGTGATAGTTGTATATTTTTCTTTCCTTGTGCTTCGTCCTGCTGTACCTCACTAATGAAATGATTGCAGCCATGTGTTTATATGACCATATCTGCTTGCCTATAATTGTAGAAAAGGATGCTTACATTTAAAATATATAATTAAGACTCACTCTGTATAGTAGTGAGAAAAATATTTCCAACAAAGATTTTTTATTTCAATAAGATATTTTACTTCAGAAGAGTCTGACTGCAGACCTGAATGTGTTAAATTCTAAATTGAACTATGTGCTACAAAACTCAGTTTCTCTCATTAGTTTGACGTTTTTGTAAACTTAAATGTTGTGGAAAAATTAATTATTTAGATATGCATGGCTCAGTGAAAGTAAATAAATATTACAATTTATGAGAAACTTTTAAGGTCAATGATATCGAGCAGAATTCCATTTGATGTTTCTTGATTCAAGATATTCCCTTATTTGCTGCTCAGTTTCAGACTTTTCAAGTCAATATACTTGTACTCTGTGTTAAGTTACTTCCATGTAAGATTTTCCTCAGCATTCAAATCCATTGTTCCCGACTGGTTGAAGGCACATGGCTGTTAGATAGCATAGACTTATCTGTAAAAGCTTACATGGCAGACAGTGAGAGGATGACAGGGAGACACTGAAAATAGGACTTCGATACTGGACCAGGTGTGAAGCTTCCTAATCTGTAAAGAAAAACAGTTATTGCCATGTACATGATTGCCACAAAAGAATTGTATGATTTGGTACTTTGCATACTTTGCATAAAAGATAAGTTATCAGAAAGTATTTTCTTACGTACAATAACAAATTTTGTAATTAATATGACTTAATGAATTTCAGTATATGCACATCATGTCACTCAACGAATGTTGAATCAGTAGTCACCTTCACCCCTTACACTTCTAAGTGGTTTCAGTAGAGATGTGGATTGTCTGTTAAATGGTTCAGCTCACAAGTTTCATCAGAGTAAACAGGGTTTGTGATATATCCTCAGCAGAAAATGTCCAAAATGGTTAAACTGAGATTGCCAGGTGGCAATACAGTTGATCTATTTCTGCTGACCCATTTGTTGCAGGTATTTTGCACAATACGGTTGATCTATTTCTGCTGACCCATTTGTTGCAGGTATTTTGCATTTAAGGCAACTCTTACATGGTTAGTGAAGTGTACAGGAACATATCATGCTTGGAGGGAACTATTTGAGAAGGGAAGACTATGTTGCCACACTTACTACTATATATTATAGAATTTTCACATGATTGTTATTTAAAATCATACCATCTTTTGTGAAAACCCAATATTTATGTAGAAAACTGCATGATGAAAAGTAAAAATGTTTATGCAATTAAAGTGTTGATTGTTTTATATTCATTGATGTTGTATTGCACAAAGATTTCTCCATTTACAGGGCTATCATGCAGCATCTGAGGGTAATCCTGAAATTATGTCCTGAATTGGTATTCACTGTGCAGAAAGACTTACTCGAGTTTATCTCTGTACTGGACAACAGCCACAAATTTCCACAATTGTACATGCATCTGGTGTGGGCAGTTGGTGAATATGCATCTCCAAATTACAGGTGAAGCGATTTTGGGGCAGAGTAGGGATAGTAACATATGCAGTAATGTTCAGTTTAACAAGGACTTTGTGTTATCAGCACCATTTTATTTCTGTTCCATGTTAGTGTGGTGGAATTTTGAGGAGTAATTATACCTGAATTGTTTCTCTTTAAAGAATGCTATATGCTAAATGTTGGAAAACCTTAAATTGAAAAACATTAGATAGAGGTTACCCTGCATATTACTGTATAGCAAGAGAAATACTCAGTTCGCTGCTTGAACTGCATAATAAATACAAGTTATGACATATTGAAGCAAGGTTCTGACTACTGAGTGTACTTTGGATAATAATACAGTTGTCATTTGTAACTTTGGAGTGACAGGAAAGATTGCAAATAATTCATAAATATGACTTTGATTGCAGCAAACTGTGTAGCCATGAATTGCTGGTGAAATATTGTGAAGCACTCGAATGTGCTGTTTATGAAACTCTGGCAGTCATCTCTGGTCAAGAAAAATATTTACCTATGAAACTTCTCAATATCACAAGTTCTTCATTGGCAAAGGTATAATAAATTCCTAACTAAGATTAAAGAATTGTAGAACAATCAGAATAATTTAAGTCTCATAGGATTTAGAATTTGAAAAGGGTACTGTATTTTATTATGTAATTTTCTCCAGCTCATCTTTTGGCAAGGAAGGATGCACTTTCTTCTTCTTCTTCTACTTCTTCTTCTTCTTCTTCTTCTTCGTTGTTGTTCTTGTTGTTCAGGGGGAGCATAATGCCCTCCCTCTAATCTTATCATGGTTCTTTGGTAAGTTTTCATCACTGACTGCAGACTGGCTCATTTCAAACCTGCTTATTTGACTACAAAACCCACACTTTTATTAACCCATTTGCATAATAAGCATATTGCTGTTAATACCAACAAGTACTCTTCCAGAGAAAGTACCCACTGGGACACTGTGTAGGATGCTTAATGTACATACATGATAGTCTTGTAAATGCAACACTTCGTACTAATAGATTGATAGTTAAACACCACTTGGTCTATGTTTCGTGTATGTTACAACTTGCTTCAGCCATGTGGGTTCATAATGATGTATATGATTTTTAAATTGCTACATTTTATTGTAATACCTCATTGCATATAAAACATAAAAGTAAAGATATCACTGTAACAGGCCGTGGATGCCCATAGGGTTGTGAGATGTTGAGGTTCCCACATTTTCTAGACAGTCTGCTCATAGATGGCAGCAAGGTTGTCAGCCCGACCTGCCGGCTGCACTTTACCCCCAAGAATATTCCTGGTACTCATTTCTGTTAGAGGTTGAGTCGACCCCAGGGCCATAGTGCAGCCGGAAGGATTAGGTCAATTGAAAGAAAATCCAATGACCTCATCGGGACTTGAACCCACGACCTTCCATCTTATAGCATAGTGCCTCAACCAACTACACTACAGACATGCCCCAGACATGTTTTTTTTTTAAATGAGTTGGATTGTTGTTAAAGTAATTTTTAAGTAATGTGTTATGTGTTTTTTCCTATATTTTCTTTGTTATGTCTTGTTTGTGTTACGTTGTCCACACATACTGGCCACCTGAGCATATACTGTAGGACCAAAGAAACATTAAAGAAATTACACTACACTGTCAATGACAACACACAGCAACAAACATACATAAGGGTCAGTCAAATGAAAACAGGTCAGCACACATAACACACGGTGCGCAAGTTGGTAACACTGGAATTTGCTTACAGTACATCTGGTGGGGACTCGGGAAAGCACAGTGACAATGTGTCCTTCCAAACTAGTCGTTTGTTTATTGTGCTGGAAGTAAGGTTAGCGCTACGTGTGGTCGTCCAACATCAGTAATGGAGGCGGGTAAAGAAGAACAGTGAAGTGTAGTGCGCTTTTTGACTGCTGAAGGAGTAGGACAAGAAATTTGTCATTGCATGTCTGTTTACAGCGAGCACAGCATGTCACATTCACATGTGCTGGCGTGGCATAAGAGATTCCGAGAGGGATGTGTGTCACTGCAAGATGATGCTTGCCCAGGACAGGCTCATTGTGTCATCACTAGGGACCGGATTTTAATGCTAATGCATATTTCTTTCTTGCAACCAGGAAGTATGCTCGTTCGGATATATGTATGAATTACTTGATTTCTTAAATTTTGGACATGGTTTGATGGTGCATATAAATGCATATTTTACCTGTTTGCATGTTTTATGAATAAGCATCATATTTTCTTAGATCTCTACTTTTACTGCATATTTCCTTTTTAAAGTGTTTGTCATATATTTTTTAATTTTATGTTCAAATTTTCAATCATGGTCATGTGTATACAGTTTTTCTTTTCCATATTAGACAGAATGTGTTGCATATTTGACTCAACATTTCGTCATGATTCATGTTTCTGATGCAATACCCAGGACGAGACTTCCCCGATCCCTCTACTCGTAACTTGCCTCATTTGCGTACCATCAAAGTGTCCATGAAGAGATTAGTCGAAAGCATCCACATGTAGCCGCTATCAACGTAATACTATTCAACCGATAAGGGACTTCACTTATTTATTTCCAAAGTCTCCATGAGGTTCGTGACACTTCTTCATTTGAAGCTGGGGGCCATTCACATTAGTAGTGACTAATCTGTAGTTAAGTTTGTTTAGCTTTCTGTAGTCATGCCGAAAGTGAAAGTAAGTCAGAAAACTAAATTACAGCTGTATCAGCGGGCGTTTGAAGGAGAGATGATAACAAAATTCTTTATTGACGAGTGTCCTAGAAAACAGTTGGTTGTGAAAAACGCTTTCAAGTGCTTCAGCATTTGAACACTAATATACACAAAGAGAATATTAAAATTAAATCCACGAAAAGTGCTCCTGTTCAAAAATTGCTTAGTGAATTTTCTAATAATAGTTTTTCACAGTTTTCCTTTGATTTATGCTAAGCCTTTTTAGCGGCAGATATTCCGTTGTGGAAACTAACCAGTCCTACTCTGAGAAATTTCATAGAGAAGTATACACAGTGCAAAGTGCGGGATGAATCTACTGTGCGCATAAATTACGTGAAGCAGTGTTACGACCTTACAATTGAAAGCATTACAGATAAGATTCAAGATAATTTTGTGTGGGTATCAATGGACGAAACACAAGATTGTGAGGGACGGTTTATTGCAAATTGTATAGTTGGGTCCCTTAATAAGAATGAACAATCTACCCCATATCTTCTTGCGGTAGAACAATTTGAAACCACAAATAGCTCCACAGTTTCTGAATTTTTTTATCAATTCCATGAATTTACTATTGCCGAATGGCATTCAGTATGAGTGCATATTGCTCTTTGTGACTGATGCCGCAAGTTATGTGATGAAAGCCAGTACTGCTCTTAAAGTTATATTTCCAAATATGACACATTGACTTGCCTTGCCCGTGGGTTGCACCATGTTGCAGAAACAATTCATGCAAATTTTCCGCTTGTTGACAAGTTGGTGTCTTCTGTGAAGAAGGTATCTGTTAAAGAGCCATACAGAAAAGAAGTCTTTAAAGCAGTAGCACCGAGCGTTCCACTTCCGCCAGAACCAATTTTAACGCGCTGGGGCACGTGGCTGTGTACAGCAAGTTATTATACTGAACATTTAGAAACAATTAGGAATGTTGTGAATACATTTGATCCCAAAAGTGCAGCATAAATTCGGATTGCCCAAGATGTACTAAAAACACAGAACTTGAAACTGATATTTCCTATGTATCTGCTCACTTCTCTCATCTTCCATCTGCTATTTCCTCACTTGAGGCAAACAACAGCAATAGTACTATGTATCAATCGTTAATTTTATTCAAAACCACTGTTCCAAATTGAACTCGGTTCCTGGAAGAGACATTGAAGTAGTAAAGAAAATGTACACAGCATTCTTAAAAAAAACCAGAATATGAACAAATTTGTGAAATTGAAGAAATTCTAGCTGATAAACATACTGAACTGCCAAGTAAAAATCACTAGCAGTGGAGTAAATAGCGGCTTCTGTACATGCGCCTTTTAAGTCCCTGCGAGTTGGAAAGATTTTCCCGCTATGAGGACATCTTATGAGACAGTAGGAGGCAACTACCTATAGAAAACCTAAAACATTTAGTAATTGTGAACTGCAACAGAAGAGAAGTTGAAAGCTTGGAGAGCTAAATTTGATTACCATTGGTTTATTTAACTTGTAATTAAATAAAAATGGCTTTGTTCCATGATTTGTATTAAGTATAGTGTTTCATTGCAATTGAATCATTAAGTGATTATATACAATTAACTTAAATGTTGATTTGCTGGTCTTAAAATAATGTAAAATCAGTTTTAATATTTGGTATGAACTTTTTATGTGCATGTTTGGAAGATTTCTATGCATAAATGCATACATATTTAAGGGATTATTAGGGCATAAAATCCGGTCCCTAGCCATCACTCCTGATGTTATTGCTGCGTTGGATGATCATATCCAGGCAAACCAATGGATCCCTGTGGAAGAAATTAGTCTTTTGATGGGAATAAGTCACAGTTTCATACACGCCATTGTGACAAAACACATGCTGTACTGCAAAATCTGCGCACAGTGGGTTCCACATCAACTCACAGAGGTACAGAAGATTCGAGAATGGCTGCATCACTGGGTCACTTGCAATGATACCATGAGGAAGTGTATGCTTTTCTGTCCCGTATTGCCACTGGGGATGAAACTTGGTGCCACTATTTTGAACCCAAGAGCAAACGGCGGTGCCAACAGTGGAAACCCATGGATTCTCCTCCACTGAAGAAATCCATAGCTGTACACACAAGGTCTGGTAAAGTGATGATGACATTCTTCTTCGACTGCAAGGGCCCTCTGCTTGTCAAATCTCTCGAGCATGGGGCCACAATCAGTGCACAGCGCTATGAAGACACTTTGCAGAAACTGAGACGTGCCACAAAGTCAAAACGCCCTGGAATGCTATCGAACGGCATTATCCTTCTTGACTATAGTGCAAGCCCCCACACTGCCAACTCTTTGAGGAATACACTACAGAGATTTTGTTGTGAAGTGCTTCAACATCCCCCCTACAGCCCAGAGCTGGAGGCCTGAAGAGAGACATTCGTGGACATCGGTTTGCATCAGACGAAGACGTGTGTGGCTGGGTAAAGATGTGGTTGCATAGACAGTCCACAAGCTTTTTCAAGGATGGGATTGACTGTCTTGTCTCCCAGTGGGATAAATGGATTAACAGTTTTGGAGATTACTTTTGGGGTAAGAAATGTTCTTTAATATGTTTTGGCTTCTGACCCATTTTCATTTGACTGCCCTCATACAAGAGAATATTACAGAACATACATTGGAAAGAATGGAGCGTATGGCGGTAATGTGGAAATAATGGCTATTCATGAAATTTATAAAGTCTTTAGTATTTATTTTGTATCTGAAGGCAAGATAACACAACCATTGACTCTTACACTTAGTAAAGTTGTGACTGTAAGAAATGTATCTCTGTTACAATGGTCATTGTGGTGCTCTTTTGTCAGTTAAGGGAAAGGCTAGCTTACATATTTTTGATGCTGTTTTGCTTTTTATAAACTAGAATTGCTGGAAACATTTTGTTTAGATAGCAGTGTATTGTTATTCTGTCAAGTTCAGTATCTTAGTGTAAATGTAGTTGTTCTTGCAGAACTTTTAAAATTGCTGAGGTTTGATATGTTTTGTGAAGTCTGTAACAGTTTCCCATTGAAATTTTAATGGGCTTTATGCCAGTCAGAAAAGAAATCTAATCCACCTCTCCCTCCAACCTATTCTTTGAGTGTTGAAGGTAGCAAGGAAAAGGATGTGCCTTATGCAAGTAACTATAATAAAGTTGTCCTTGTGGTTAACTAATTAAGCGCTTCACCATGAAGGCGTATGGGGGTGTAGATGTATATATCCACATTTTCTTCAACTTGACGCTAGCTGGAGATGAGTGGTCACCTTCATGCCTCAGCCGCTTTACCCCTGGGGAAAGAGCCCCCGGTACCCATTGGATAGGAGATTGGGTGGACCCCAGAGCTGGTCTGGATGATGTGGAGAAGAGACAATTCTTGACCCTACCGGGACTCGAACTCTTGACTCCTCGATTGTCCAGCCCATAACCAGTCACTATACTGACTGCACATAGATTAATTCAGAATCAAAAGACATGTGACTGCAGCTGTGCATGAAAGCGTATCTGTAACAGATAATTTCCACCATATGCAGTAGCTTGATTCACCTGATTAGAAGTGTAACGCCTTTTTTTGGGTGGGGGAAAATTTCTGATTAATTAATTTTTATGAATGTTTTGAGGTTCTCACAGTCGTGACTATGAAAATTTTTATCTTCTTGGGTATTTCAATGTGTATTCTGGTAATAGTCATCTGATGTTTTGGAGGAATATATTGCCTCCATCTTCAAGGTTAAAGAGTACGCCAAGCAAGGAATCAGCTGAGCTCTGCTTGCTGCCTACATTATGCAGATTTCTTGCTTGGCTAATTCTTTGACTCTAGAGATGGTAATCATATCTTCCTCTTAAATACTGGTTGACTTTCACATGGCATCATATCCCAAAAGATAGAACTCTTCATAATTTTTAGGGATGTTTGTTATCTTTTTACTGCACTAGATTGCTCACTTGTGCTTTTTTTTAAGTTGGCAAGTCGATGTGAGGACCTGATCCCCAGAGTCCTCCTTTGCTTAAGGAAAGTTGGTACACAAGTAACCACAGGACTACCAACTGCAAGTATATCTGACAAGAGGATTGTTTACGACCGAATACAAGAATTAGTGTGTCTTCTCAACAATCCAAAGTAAGTACTTATTCTTGATTAATAATATGTTATTACTGAATGGGGTGGCACAGTGGTAACACTCAAAACTTATTCTAGACAAACCCAGTTTTAGTCTTGGCCAGGATATTGGCCATCCTGACTGAGGTCTTTCATGGTTTTCCCTAGTCCTAGGCAAATACTGGATGGTACCATGATTAGGCCAAAACTACTGCCTTCCAAATCCTTTCCAGTTGATTTGTCTATCTACTACTATATTTGATGATATATAGTCTAGCTACTGACAGTGCTATACAGTTGCCCAGAAAGAATGGCAAGTTATCAAACACCTAGAAGGCAAGCAATAAATGCACCAAAACTGGGGGAACCAGTTGGCTGTAAGCAGAAGGGCTCAGGTTGTTAAAGTTATTCTCTCATTGTCGTATCTCACTCTCTCTCCCCCCCACCCCCCCTCTAGGATGGAAAGGAAGTGAAAGGTGCTTATGAGATGATAGTGTTTTGCCTTTGGATTTTATGTATGACAATATACAGGGTGTTTAACAAACTAGGACATTTTCGTAAGCATAAATTCTCATCCCTATGCAGAAAGAGAAGAGACTTGATAAGTTGGCTCTGCTATGCCATTGTCAGAACAGGAGAGTTGTCATTACTGAGGTAGCTACATTGGAAGAATATCAACTGTATCACTATTCACACATTATTTGATATGAGCGATGTAATGTTAGTTGAATCTTCTGGAATATTATGCCATGTAGGCTGGTGGAAGTTAGCCTGATCTTCCTCCAGCTTCGAGATCAAAGAGCAAGCCAAGCAAGAAACCAGGAGAATTAGGTGCAAGCTGATCTTGCTTCCTGCTTCTGCTGGATTCTTGCCTCACTTGCTCTTTGATCTCAAAGATGCGAGATGGTATGTTCTCCCGAAATGTCAGGCTGTCTCTAAGCTACACAACATTACGACCCAGAACCATATGACCTTGAAAACTGAATTTTATCAAACACTGTGTTTATGAAACTGAAATGACATAGCAGTGTGATAGGAAATTCATATCTTGAGTAAGGTGAAGATCTGGAATTGTTTCAGCATTGCTTCCATCGTCCTGTCATCAGCACACACCAGCGATCCAGCCATGACAGCTGTCATGAGGGTGTTGTCTCAGTTTGCTGATTCCTGAAGAGTGAAGGGAAAAATAATTGTTCACTCGTTTCACTTGAAACTTTTACTTATCATATGCTGCAATGGATAGTGGCATCTCTTTACCCAGAGGTGAAGCAAGTGGGCTGTTAAGCTAACCTCTTGTCTCCATCTAGTGCTATGTATAAGAAGGTGTGGAGCCATACTTTCACTCCCCACCATGTCTTAGTGACATGATGCTTAATTAAGCCTATGTAGAGTGAGTGTGCTTCACTTGGCTTTTCACATGTACGAGGGGGGACCCAAAAATAACCGGAAACGGCCTGTTGCGTGCGCATGCTTTGTAGTTACGAGTTGTGCTGCTAGGTGGTGTTAGCTGGGGGTCTCCCGCTACTGTTAGTGAGCTGGCGTCAGTCTGAGTTAAGTGGTTTGTCTGTGGTGCTCTGTTATGTGCGTTCCTGTTTCAACCCTTTGGCGATTAGTGAGATGGCCGACCAGAAGGAACAAAGAGTGTGCGTGAAATTGATGAAGATCGTCGAAAGACCATTGACCAACTTTCTGAGGAAACGAACATCTCATGGAGCACGGTCCAGCGAATTTTAACCGAAGGTTTGCACATGAGACGGGTGTCTGCAAAATTTGTTCCTCGCTTGCTCGGAGATGACCAAAGAGAAAACCGCGTGAATGTTTGCCGCGACTTGAAGAGTGAAGTGCAGTTTTCCCTAACAGAAAGCAAAATTTCACGCACACTCTTTGTTCCTTCTGGTCGGCCATCTCACTAATCGCCAAAGGGTTGAAACAGGAACGCACACAAGAGAGCACCACAGACAAACCACCTAACTCAGACTGACGCCAGCTCACTAACAGTCGCGGGAGACCCCCAGCTAACACCACCTAGCAGCACAACTCGTAACTACAAAGCATGCGCGCGCAACAGGTCGTTTCCGGTTATTTTTGGGTCCCCCTTCGTAGCATAGTGCTACATCTGATGTCATTACCTGGATTATTGTTTTCAGTCATACTATTCATATTGGCTGTCATACCATATGACGTCCTAGCACTGCTCCACGTGAGACACCTTTCAAAGAATCTGTCCCAGAAATATGTGAATATTCTTCATAAATTGTGGCGGGAGATAATGTAGGAAGTTGCACAAGGTGGTGCATAGACTTTAATTATGTGCATATATAATTAATCATTGAATTATAATACCTTTTTATACAATATTATTAATTACTATGCGGATACCATTTATTGACTGAATCTTAATTAAGATACTAATTTCTTTTCTTGGAAGTTTAAAACATAATCGTTTTGCAATGGAAGAGACCCAGGACAATTTAGTAGACTGTGAAAATGCCTTACTTTTTCAGCTCTGGCAAGCGGTATTGTGATTGTCCACAGTTTATATCACCAGGTCCTGTGATTTCATTTTCATTATATGTGAATTCCTTTAGTTCATGAGGTATTGGAGAACAAAGTTCTAAGAATACATAATGTTTTAATGATATCAACTGTACTATCCAGTAATACACTCTTGCCACTCCTTTCTCTGTGGTTATGCAGTGTGTTGGTTTGGACAATGAGTTGGATTTGTTGAAGGTTTCTGGAAATGGGAACTGTGGTAAGCTGGTTAGGCAATATCCACTTTAGAGGGTTTGCCTGGGTGCCAGTAGTCTTTAAGAGGAGGGTTCTACAGATTTAGGAGTGAATTCCACCTTTGCAGTGGCACATGGATGGGGTGGGTAGCTTGGTGTTAATTGGGCATAGGACTGTCTCTTGTGCATAACAGGCCAGACTCAGGTAAGGCAGCAAACACTTCTTCACAATGCATCATAGCATACTGTATAAAGAAATATCTTTAATGGCTCTTTTATATTTTATTTTATATCTTTTCATATATTCCTGCATTTCCCTTGAAAGATTATGCTGTTTCCTCAGACCATCTAACACACTCACTCTTTTATAAGAATTATGTATTCCTTGGGTAATCCGTTTATTTCTCTGTGTTACTCCTATAAAGAGTTTTTAGTGGAAAAGCTATGTTATAATGATAAAGGATCAAGTCCATGAGGGCATTAATTCTGGTATTTATTTCTATATTTAAAAAACACTTCTGCTATGATTCTTTTTGTAATAGGTAATTAAAATCATCAGTACTTTCCTTGGTAAATTATCATTTCCTACTCTTTACTGGTCCTCCTTTTTATCTATTTACATTAACATTTGTTATTTGTGCCAAATGATCTGATTAACCCACTCTAATACTGTTGATGAGCATTCGTAAGCTTACTTGTTTAATACAGTGGTTTCTATCAATGTAAATAATTTCTTTGTAATCCTAGTTGGCGATACTATTGTATTTACCAAATTATACAACAGCAGCACATATTTTAATTCTCGTAGTTTTACACAGTCTTCCACAAAATTTATGTTCCAGTTCCCACATAAAATTACTCTTTTTCATTTTAATTGCACTTTTTGCATTAGCATTTCCAATTTTTTTAGAAATAAATTAAGGCCACCATCAGGTGGTCTATAAATACACATAAGAACTACGAGTATGTTATAGTCCAATTATTCAACTATGGACATTTCAGTCTTTTTGCTTACATAATTCTTTTAAGCAAGTTTGATCTTTGGTTTCTACATGTTCTTTTACACATACACAACCATCATGTGCACTACTAATTCTACTAAAAGTACTTTCTAATTTAGAATGATCAGTATTTATTAATCCAATATGCTCCTCTTTTAACCAGTGTTCAGTAAATTATAATATATCTACATTTATGAGGCCCAGTAATAAGATAGTTAACTCCACATCAAGGTGGAGAATCAGTATTTGTGAAAAATTTTAACTCCTTTATGGTTTCTACCTTTATACCAAGCTTAGTTTTGTTCTGCTCATGTCCATCCATAAAAATCATCCTTTCTTGTAACAGGTGGTTTCTGAAGTCTTTCTGATGAAACAGTGGTAGTCACATCATCATTTAGACACTGACATCTGTCTAGTTGGGGATCAGTGTCTTCCTGGATATCTGTCAGTCCCCTTTCCCTCTTCAGACTTTCTTTCTTCTTCAAATCCCTGTTCTTGATGTTCCTGGCTATTGTGGTTTTATAATGTCTCTTCAGTGGATCTTCATTCCAAGTCATGTACAGGTATACTGGTTCTTTTGTTTTTTCATTTAACGTGTATTTTATACTAGAACAGCCATTTCCTTCCCTTTATTATTCAAGGGTGATCCATGTTTTGTAAATGGATCTCTATTTGAATCTAACTTTATAAGAGCCGTAGTTTCATAAATGTTTCCTTAATTTTCTATTACAAACGTACACCTCTTTATTTACACAAGAATTCACATGTAAGTCAAATCTATGTGGGACACACATTTGAATAATGTTTGTATAGCTGTTTTCTCTGACGAGTCGTTTGACTGTCTCAAGCCATTTGTAATCTCATTCTTCCTACATCCTTGATGCTTCCACACATTACCACCACATCTTTCATTGTCAAATTTTTAACTTCTTCTTTTGCTCTTTTTGTAGTAGGCATCAAATCAGCACCTGGCTTAATGACCTGCTGAGCTTCGAAGGTGTTGTCCAGGTCATATTTCTCTTTAGATGCACAGTCTCTTCCATGACTGGCCTCACTGATTATCATCTTGTGTTTCCTCCTTTTGGGGGATGTCTACTTTTTACGATGTTTTCTCACTTTTTGATTTCCCGTTGATTTGTGGGCCAGCACCTCACACTCATTGCTAATACAAAGTAACTCATAGCGAGTTTTTATGACAGGTATTGCATATGTATTTTCCTGTCTTCCACAAGTGAATTTTGTGATTTCCAACCACTACCTTTGACCACTTAGCTTCATTTAAAATATGTTCTCTAATAGCTTCGTACAAACTTGTTACCTTAGCTGGTTTGGCCGCGCCATAGCTCAAGTGGTTAGTCGCTGCCCAGGTTCAATCCCGGGGTCTGGTCAAGTAGGATTTGTGGTGGACAAAGTGGCACTGGGGCAGATTTGCTCTGAGTACTTAGGTTTCCCCTGCCAATCTTCATTCCACCAATTGCTCCACAATCACTCTCACCTATCATCTGGGGCTGGTACAATAGGCAGGAAGTGGCCGCAGTACAAGGGACTTAGTCCCACACCACTAGCAATAAAAAAAATAATTCCTTAGCTGGAATAGTGTTGACTTCTGTCAATATAACCTCTCTGGCTGGTTGTCTCTCATCAGTTTTTGAAAACTATAAATTCTCTCACATCACTTTTTAGTTCTTTACATCGATTTTCCTAAGCTGTAAGTGGAGTTTGGATACCTATTTTGGCTGTATACTGAGTATTTGATGCACTATCTGTGCTATCTTTAACTTCGACAGTCTTTCTGCAAAAGTTCAGCATTCATTTTCATAGCACTGTTTATTTAACACTTTCAACAGTAAGGTTTTGATTTCCATGCAGTGTTTGCTCCTTTTTTTTTTCTTTCTTTCCTATCTTCACCCTTGTATCTCTTTACTGATTATCATATGAACGGTATACTCATATTCTCCCGCATATGTACTGGGATGATTTGTGATTAAAGTGTCAAGTATTGAATGTTAAATAATTTTTATATATGAAAGTTTCCTATGTTGGTGTAGTACCAGTCATGTAACAACAGACTACAAAATTTGCATTATATGGATCCATATTGAGGCAACTATATGTTCAAGTAACTTAGTTTATGTATTTGCCTGATTGTGACCTAAATAAAGGTTAAAACATGCACCATATGCCTGTTTTCAATAAACGAGTAAGAGACACCACAACATCTATTTTGTCTCCGCCTTGAAGATATCCTCCTTTATATTGTGTTGATGGTCCAGTTCACATAATTATTTGAGTACACAACAGGATGCAAGCCATAAAGTTCATGCATTTCACGCACCAGTGATGTACCAGAGCAGAGCACATTTCCAGTTCAAACATCTAAGTTACCAATATATTCCAGTATTCAGTTCACAGCCCCATTGTGATAGTTTATGAAGAACAGCATTAAAAATAGAATTAAACTTTTTCCCTTATCGTACAGTTATGACTAGCCATTTTTCAGTAGATGTGCTTTCTCTACAGTTAATTGCTAGCCCGCAAAGCTGATGCTCAGGCTGTTTTTGAAAGCATATCAAATGTCTCGTTTGATATTCTTAAGTAGACTTGAACTTGTCAGGATTAATTTATTTATTATACTTCTATACGTAATAATACAAATGCAGTTGTGAATGCAACAATTTATTTGGTTGTAGATCTTTGTCTTTTCTTCCGCAACACTACGTGTTTCAGCTGT